CCCTTAATAATAGGTAAAACCATTCGACCATACGCTCAAGCATTCGCGAGAAAAATTTATTTAAAATTTTTCCACATGCGTATGTACCGAGTCGCTCACAAAATATCTCGCGAATGCTTGAGCGTATGGTCGAATGGTTTTACCTATTATTAAGGGAGGTGTAGTATTGCAACATATATCAAGCTCATTAAAATCGGAGAGAACATATGTTGGCCCTCCCCTTGTAAGTATTTTTATATAACTCAATTCTTTTAAAAGATTTAAAACTAATCTATATGTATGTGTATATAAATTTTCATATATACTTATATGAATGTATATACATATATGTATATGCACATATATGCATATCGTTACGTTCGGGAAACGTTTGTCGGCCGCGCACTGTTTGCTCACTCGCACGTCCATGCTTGCACTGTTAGGAATAGCCATACTTGACTCGTTGGAAAGAATTTTATTATCAGACAAAGACAACAGAAAGGAAAGACAATACGACTGCGTGGCTTGATGGTCTATCAATCTTCTTGGCAATAGTAACTATTTAACAACAGCGACTCATTATCAAATTATTTTTCGACTTCTTCACGATCGTAACTCGATTTGGCTCAATCCTAAGAGTCGTATCAGCGCGTAACAATATTTATAAATCATGCTAACAATATTGATAAATATTAATAATAAATATTCGGTATTCTTCAGAAGTGATAAAATTATTTATGTTATGTTAACAGAGTACGAATGTGGGAAATGCTTTATACTGCATGGATTGGCCACTACTATCAGTTAACGAAAGAAAAGAATTGTTGATAATCATGTTACGGAGTACAATTCCTATAAAATTCACTAGCAGCTTCTTAATAACTCTGTCTCTTCAATCTTACAGCAATGTTAGTAATCTCGTTGACACATTTATGACGAAAATTTAGTTGAAAAACACAATCAAAATTTCATAACTTTATTCTACATAATTCTGATTTCAGATCTTAAGAATGTCGTACACAGCATTCAATGTACTTCAAAAGTGAAATATAAATAATTATAAGTGTACTTAGGCATGATAATTGTGTAGTTTGTCATAAATTAGTTAGTAAATTCTAAAATATTTATGTACGCATTTATTTTAACCTTATTCTTTATTACGATTCTAAGAATATTGGCACTAATCCACACACACATACATATATATTTTTGTATACTGTAATATAATGCAACAGTTTCATTTCATGCACAACTAATTTTAGCTTCAGCATGGAGTCAAGGAAAAGAAATTTATCAGTTTTTACGTCACATCTAACATATTGCACACAGAGTTGACCTATAGTCATATTGTATATTTGTAGTCGGTATAGCAAGTCGAGCAGTAATTAATTTAGAAAATGTGTAAATATTTTAACATTGCTGTTAATGCTACATTATCTCGTATTTTATGCAACAAGAAAAGGCTCTATGAGATATACGGTCTGCCACACAATAAAGAAGATAAAGAAATTCGATGAGAATAATAACATGTACGCGTCTGTAAAAAGTAATATCCCTCGACTAGTATAAGCAGGAAAATTTTCACAATTATAGTCTTCATAGGAGCGGAAAAGGAAGTGGAAAGGGACGAGTATTGCGTAATGAATATCTAAACGATGCAATGTCGATTTTTTAATGACACTTATTATTGATACTGAGGTAAGTTGAAGTACGTAAAACTATACATACTCCATCACAAGATATGCTCGACTACGTTTAACTGAAATTTATTGATATTCATAATAGCGAAACATGTTGTATCTGTAATATTTGTTAATTCTATTGTATTAATAAAAAGTAAAATAGTAAGAAAAATGTTCTAATACAAGTGCGCGATAGACTTCTACAAATACTGTTTTTTAATTGGGTTCATACGAATAGTCTATTACATTAATGTTACTTAAGATCATCAGATTAGTAAACCAACAAGATAATAATTATATGCAATCTTCGTGCAAAGTGAATGAAATCTATCGCTGACATGCAGTTTCACGTGTGCGATTTAAACATTAATTTGTGGAATTTAGTAATAACATATTCAATTTTGTGAAACTACTTTTCGTATCAAATTTGTTTTCTCTTACAATTAACTTCTGAATATTTAATTGGATATTCAATGCTTTAAGATACTTGTTGGAAACTTTTTACACGTAGAAAGAGGCTTCACTTTTGTGTATCACTTTGATGAGTTTGTAAAGAAAGGGATCCAAATATGCAAATACTCACTCTGAATTTCTTTATACATACACTTTGTGGTATATGGCAACCTATTGAGTGGTCTTCAAATGTTGCAAAACTGTTGTATAATGTATTTACTTTTATTGTAATACTCACAGAGTATTTTTTTGTGTTAACACAATTTATGGATATAGTTTTTGTTGTCGACAATATTGATGATTTTGCCACTAATACTCTAATGTTCCTGACTATTGTTGCTGTATGTTGCAAAGCGACTGTCATTGTAGTGCAACGAAATGCAATTATTAATTTGGTACAAGTATTGTTGAAAACACCGTGCAAACCTCGTAACGAGGATGAAGCAACGATACAAACAAAGTTTGATAAGTTTATCAGGTATGTATAATTAATTAGAAAAATTTTATGACAAAACATTAATCTAACTTGCACAAAATGTCAAAATAATTTGATCCACATACGATATATTATTTCTGACACTTCTGGATCCAATAGAACATGTTAAATGTTATATTTTTAGCGTTTTCTTCAGAGCCTTTATTAATTGTTGGAGTTTGTTCATTTTGTACATAAGAATTATCATTCCTAAACAACACGTATGTCTTAAAGATGTCTTTTAGACATGCGTGCTGTATGGGATTGTCACATAAATTTCACAACTTAATAATTACTTATGTTGTATTGAGCTAAAAAATGTTTTTGTAAATTATATATATATATATAATTTATATTTTTTATAAAATATACAGGGTGGGGCAATAACTATTAGGACCTTAAATATCTTCGAATTTATAAGGCCCAGTGATTTGTGTAACCAAAATTCCACGGTACGAAGGGACTATCATAATAGCAATAATATTTTTGTCCAGGTGGAGGTGCTTCGGAGATACCAACGTCATCTTAATTTTTTAAAATGTGTCCGATATGTCTTTTTCCCATAATATGACAGAGGAGCGCGAAACACGTTCAGAACTCACGACACAAGATCATTGAACAAGATTTAATGGGAAGAAAAATCGATAATACATTTTTATTATTGAATGAAATTTACGTTTACAAAAGATGTTCGAAGTGATGGCCATCATTATCGATGCAAGACTGGATTCTTCCGATAATTGATTGGCTTGCTCTTTTAATAACGTCAGGAGTTATTGATGTACAGGCTGTAATAATGGTTGCATGTCTTTTGATCAATTTTTCTTTCCATTAAATCTTGTTCAATGATCTTGTATCGTGAGTTCTGAACTTGTTTCGAGCTCCTCTATCATATTATGGGAAAAAAACATATCGGACCCATTTTAAAAAATAAAGATGACCTTGGTATCTCCGAAACGCCTCCACCTGGACAAAAATATTATCGCTGTTATGATAGCCCCCTTCGTACTGTGGAATTTTGGTTACACAAATCTTCCTCTGGGCCTTATAGATTCGAAGATATTTAAGGTCCTAATAGTTATTGCCCCACCCTGTATATAAACTCACCTATACCTATTATTTTAAAATTGTATTATACACAAATACACATCCGCAAAATAATTAAATTCTGTCTTAAATTTACGCATATTTTCGTTATATTTATAAGACGTAAGAGTGAAGTTCAATTATCGTAAATGAATGAAAGATCTTCTTTCTGTATGTACAGGTCATATTCAATAAAATATTCACTTTTGGCGACAGGCTCCTGTACATGTGTCACAATAGGATCGATTCTAACTATTATGCAAGGTCACATGCCTTATCGAATATGGCTGCCATTCAATTTCAAAATACCTATAGTTTTCGAGATTATCTCTATTCATCAAGTTATAGCTGTAATTTTTGCCACTATGATAAATGTCGGCACGGAAACCCTAGTCTTCGGATTGTTTTTGCAAACGTGTGCTCAGCTTGAAATTTTCGAAAGTCGTCTTCACAAATTAGTAATTAATAGAACGATTAAATATTTAGAACATCCTCTCTCTTCATCGAATGAAAATAAAATGGAAATATCGCAGTGCGTACATCATCATCTCAGCATTTATAAGTGAGTTACATAATGAACCGTCCATATGTATAATATTCAAATGTCTACTATATGTGCGTGCGTGATTAAATGGTTGCGTATTTAAATGCATAAATTAATTAATACTTTTTGTAATTTTGTATAATCATTTTTTATAATCATAATTTTTTATAATCATTAAGATTTTATGGTGATGGTGAAATATTTGAAGTCCAAAGATTTTGACAACTTTGTTATAGTCTTTCTATGAAAAGTTGAACAAGACTTAAGTGAAGATTAAAATGCTTGCTCTGAATCAATCAAGTAGCTTTTGTTTTAAAACTGATATGTTTTGAAATGTTCCTATAATTTTTGAAATACTACCAATTACGTTATAAAGTTATATTTCAAGCTCGTAATTCTATTACTTTTTACTTTAAAGTAATTCTTTACTTATATGTAAGGTAAGATTAACATGAGCTCATTGCAGATATGCCAAAAAGGTAAACGTTATATTCAACCAGGTGCTCTTCATTCAGTTCTTTGGCAGTATACTGGTATTATGTACAAGTGTATATTACCTGTCAATGCATATTAAAGAACTGTCTGCAATTGCAAATTTATTAGTATACACCATTTGTATGTTCGTACAAATATATGTTTATTGCTGGTCTGGAAATGAAGTTATTCTGAAGGTAATTCTGTCGGCTCCGTATATTCTCTTCTGATATACTTTACTGAGATGGTAGTAAAATTGCGAGTACGTTCGTACGATTTAATGTTTTGTTAGATTTCATGAGATAACATAATGATTTACCGACACATTTAAAACTATTCTATATACTCGTATATTCACAAATTTTGTACGTATAACGTTAGCAATGTGGATAAAGTCGTTCGATAATATTTGCAAAGTGATAATCTTATTTATATCATGTCAGAGTACGAGCACAGGAAACGCTGTATATCATATGGATTGGCCATTACTGTCTGTCAATGATAAAAAAGAATTGCTGATGATCATGATGCGTAGTACTATTCCTATAAAGTTCACTAGCAGCTTCTTGATAACTGTGTCCCTTGAGTCTTATAGCAATGTTAGTAGGCTTGTTGCAATAAATACTTTGGTGACAAAGTAAATGTCTATACGTAATATTATCAGTAACACGTTTGTAGTACATGTCGGGAAACCTAACCGAAACTTTTAATAACTGCACCATTTCTAATCTACATTTCTCTAACTTTCTTTTTAGATTTTAAAGACATCGTACACAGCATTTAACGTACTTCAAAAGTGAAATATGAATAATTCAAAGTGTACCTAGGCATGGTAATTGTGTAGTTTTTCATAAATTTGTTAGCAAATAAAACATGTTTGCTTACCCATTTGCTTCAACCTCTATTGCGATTCTAAAAATACTAGCGATAATGCACGCATATTAAGGTACACATTTTACCCAGCATAATACAATGTAAGTTTCGTATATAAGAGTACATATACAAGCGGCACTAATTTTAGCATGGAGGCACGGAAAAGGAACTTCTCAGTTTCAGCACATGTAATATCGCGCGTGGGGTTGTCATGTAGTTATTAATTGTGTATATTTGTAGCCGGTATACATGTAGACTTAGAAAATATCTAAATATTTTATACATTGCCATTGTCGTTACATTATCTCGTATTTTATGCAAAGTACGGTTTTGTGAGAAATACGATCTTCCATTCAATTCTGATAAATATATAAATATACAAATGTTTTATTCGATGGGAATGACAGTATGCGAGACCGCAAAGAACTGCATCCCTCAACGGTTATAAGTAAGCGAACACGCAATTATAGTATTCACGGAAAAGAACAGATCGTTATAAATGTCTAATAACTCTATGTCGATTTTTTAATAACATATTATTAATGGTACTAGGGCTAAAAAGTGGAAGCATGTGAAAGTGTACTTAGTCTGTCGGTTGACGTGCTCAGTTATATTGAATGTAATTTATGAAGGTTTACAATAATAAAATTATATGTCATATCACTGTTAGTATTTCTTAAGTCTATTCAATAGTATTAGCAAAATTTTGGAGAAGCAACATTTGAGAAAAAGATACGCGATAAGTACTAACAAATATTCCTTTCTAGTCGCACGAATGGTACATTGCATTGGTGACAAAGTAAATGTCTATACGTGATATTATCAGTGACACATCTGTAGCACGTGTCGGGAAACATAACCGGAACTTTTAATAAATCCGCCATATTCAACATTTCTCTAATTTTCTTTTTAGATTTTAAAGACATCGTACACAGCATTTAACGTACTTTTAAATAGGTACATTGAAATAAGATCGCTCAATTCTGAATCCAAGACACGTTGTGAGCGATGTATGTGTTAAAAGAATGAGATTTGTCAGAGATATTTACGTGCAGTGTTTCGCGTGGGATTTAAACTTCAATTTGTGGAACTTACTAATCGCATACTGCATTTGATAGAATTTTATACTATCTTCTGTATCTAAATTCAATTTTGACTTATATAACTATACAACCGGACATCTAACAAGAATATATAAAAAGCGATATCTTTTAGCAAAGCTTGACACCACTTTTTAGACTGTTTTACATGTAGAAAAAGACTGACTTTTCACCATTGATAAATTGCCCGTAAAGAAGGAATCTCAAATATGCAAATACTTTCTCTGAATTTTTTAATATATACCATTTGTGGTATGTGGCGACCGACCGAATGGTTATCAAATGGTGCCAAATTTCTGTATAATATATTTACTTGTATTGTCCTAATCTCGGAATACTTTTTCACGTTAACTCAATTCCTGGATCTCCTCTTTGTTGTTGATAACATCGACGATTTCGTTGCTAATTCTATATTTTTAATAAGTGTTGCTGCTCTTATATATAAAGCGACACTTGTCGTAACACGTCGCAACGCGATCATTAGCTTGGTGCAAGTATTGTTGACAGCGCCATGTAAACCTCAAGATGAGGACGAAGTGGCAATACAAACAAAGTTTGATCAATTTATCAGGTAGGTATCACGTACTTTTGTCAGGATAATGTGATGAAGTAAAGTATTAGAGTAATCGCATAAAATGTCTATGCAATAATATTATATTCATGTACAATTGGAATGTATTTCTGCTAGTTTATCATTTCCTGCAAACAGTTATGTACTTCTTGCTGAATTTTATATTTCAGTGCTATTGTTTTTTTTTCTTTACCAATGTAGTAAGTTTTTACATTTAGTTGAATTCATAAATATTTCTTCTAAAGTATATTTTAATAACATACACGTCATACTATTATAAATAAAAATAAATTATGTCATTATAAATTTCTGCCAAATTTGAAAAGTTCAGTTATTACAGGTAAAGTTCAATTATCACAGGAGTGCAAAGCTTAATAACATGTAATTTCAATTGTACATTTACAGATCGTGCTCAATGAAATATTTGCTTTTGTGTACAAGCTCCCTTACAGGCGTCATAATAGGATCGGTATTAAATATTATGTATGGTCAACTGCCGATTCGAACATGGCTGCCATGGAATGTAACCAATGTACCTCTAGTGTTTTGGATTATATCGGTTCAGCAAATTATGAGTGTAATTTTCGGCACTCTCATAAATGTCGGCACGGAAACATTAATCTTTGGGCTGTTTATACAAACATGTGCCCAGATTGAAATTTTCGAAAGTCGTCTCCAGAAATTAATAATTAATATAACATATCTGGATACGCTCTCGTTATCTAGTAAAGACAAAACCAGGATGTCGGAATCCATACGTCATCATCTCAGCATTTACAAGTAAGTTGAATGACATTCCCTTTTAATCCACGTAATCGCACACTTCTATGTATGTATGTTTACATGAGTTTATATATTATTTAATCTCAGTATCTAAAAAGTGACTTGCTCGTAACAATACCTATTGCTATTTATAATTGTTTAAAAGTTGCGATTTGAAACAATGATACTCGTATTATTAAATACTGTACTATTCAATACTGTTCAATTCAATTGCGTATATAATACAAAACTGTTACAGATATGCCAAAACGGTAAACGTTACTTTCAGTAAAGTACTCTTCATTCAGTTTTTTGTTAGTACAATGGTAATATGTATAAGTGTCTATTATATGTCAACGCATATTACGGAATTGTCTGAGATTACAACCTTATTAGCGTATACCATTTCCATGTTTGTACAAATCTATATCTATTGCTGGTCCGGAAATGAAGTCATACTTAAGGTAGCTATCGGTATTCTACAGTCATTAAACAGTTCTTTATTGCCAATGAGTCATTCGAAAATCGCGAGTATTTTCAAAACTCAAAATTTAACGTAATTTTATGAGAGTTTAACTTTTCTAGCGAATTAAGAAATTATCTAATGCTTAAAAGGAAGACTCTAGTAGCACAATATATTAGCGCAATATTGGGAAAGAATGTAAATCTAGATTCCCAATATTGGTCCAATATTGTAAGATAGACGCCTTTTCTTATTTAGCGAATATGTCTATTTAGCAATATTGGTCTAATATTGCATCAAATTAGACTAATATTGCTATTATATTGTTAAATATTAGCCAATGTACTTCCAATATATAAATCTAATATTATATAATTATTATCGTGCAATATTTAAATTTATTTCATGGTCAATATTGGCTCTACGTTGGACAATATCGGTCAATGCATTTCTAATATAACCAACACTGGATCAATAATTAGCCAATGTTTAGCCAATGCACTGTGCTACTAGGGGACACTTGTACTTGTGTGTATATATGCATACACATTTATATTAAGCTAGTAATAATGTTATTCGGTATTATCATGTAATAATATTATATATTATATGGGCAGAGTCAGAATATAGGAGACGCTGTTTATCATATGGATTGGCCATTACTGTCAGTCAACGAAAGGAAAGCATTGCTGATGATCATGATGCGTAGCACTATTCCTATAAAGTTCACTAGTAGCTTTTTGATAACTTTTTCTCTTCAATCATACAGCAATGTTAGTAGCATCAGTATTTTGGTAACTGAATTAATATATTATATATGTACTCGTATAGAGATATATATATATCATATTCCCTAATTTCTTTTAGATTTTAAAGACATCATACTCGGCATTTAACGTACTTCAAACACGAACTTGATGTCACGAAATGCGTATAAATGACCTATAATGCACTTAGAGAACATAAATTTTGTTTTCTTTAAATTATAGTGACACTAAATCTGTGTCTAAAATTCTGTTTGTGTATTTATTTCAACCTTACTCTTTATTCCGAATAAAAAAATTATAACACAAATGTGCATTTCGCCATAATACGATTCATATTTCGATTTAAGGTATAAATAACAATTTTCGCTTTAGTTTTAAAGTCGGGAAAGAATCATTTCTCAGCCTGGGCTACATGTGTGACGTATAGAGTATAAGGTTAATGCATAGTTCTCCTGCACATTTGTCATCCCTCATAGAATACAGACAAGTAACTTGAGACATATGCTCTAGCATATTGTACATCATTCTTATTGCTGCATCTCATCTTGTGTTTTTATGCAATAAAGCAAGAGACATTACGGAACATACGATATTTCTCGCAGTTCCGATGGACAGGGAGAATAATATATAAATATCATTCAAGGGAAATATAACAATGTGCGTAAATGTACAAGACGACACCCCTCAACGGTTGCAAGTAGGACAACTTTCACAATTACAATATTCACAAGAACAGAAGAGAATGTGTATTTTATATTATAATAAATGGTTAAACGAGCTCATGTCGATTTTTATAAGTGTTTTAGCTTTAGAATAAAAGTCAGAAAAGAATAGTTTTTCAGTCTACATGTGATGTATTGAGTATAAGGTTAATATGTAGTTTTTCCGCACACTTGTCATACCTCGCAGTAGCCTGGCAAATAGCTTGAGAAAATATAGGTACCTACCCTAAGTACATTATACATCATTCTTAGTGTTACTCGTGTCTTGTTTTTTTTTATGTAACAAAGTGAAAGACCTTACGGAAAATATTATGTTCTTCGTTCGTCTTCCGGTGGACAGGAAGACGTACAAATGTTTTATTCAACAGGCATATAACAATGTGCACGAACGTAAAAGACGACATCCCTCGATGATGAAGTAGGGAAACTTTTACAATTATAGCATTCACAAGAACGGAACAGAACGTACATTTTATAATATAAGGGTTAAACGACTTCATGTCGATTTTTTAATGGCCGTAATTGACGGTACTAAGGGTTGACAAGATGTTGAAGTGGGTAAAACTATACATAGTCTCTCGTAAGACATGCTCGGTTACATTTAAATAAAATTTATTGACCCCTAACGATAATAAAATAACATGTTCTATCAGTGTTAGCATTTGTTGTATAATTCTGTTGCATTAGTAGGCACAATTTTGAGAAGCCAATATTCTGAAAAAGGTGTGATAAATGCTTACAAATAGTGCTTTGTGGTTGTACTTATACACGCAAATCATACGTTGCATTACATTTAAATAAGGTCGTCTGATTTTCAACGCACGATAATGTTCTATGCAATCTGTATGTAAGACGAATAAAATTTGCCGCAATGAGATGGTTACATTCGGTATTTAATGTGCAATTTAAACATTAGTTTGTGGAATTTACTAATAGTGTAATCTACAGTGTTATTTTACTTGCTTGTATTAAATTCGGTTTTTCTTATAATTATCTTACGCCTGGGGACATTTAATTGACATATTTAAGAAAAGATGTTTTCGAAATGCCTTAAACCACTTTTTTAGATACATTACACGTGAAGAAAGAGAGCCAGATATGGAAATTCTCTCTTTAAATTTTTTAATATACACCGTTGGTGGTGTATGGCGACCTGTTGAGTGGTCATCGAGTGGTGCCAAACTGCTGTACAGTGTATTTACCATTATTATAGTAACTTCGCAATACTTTTTGGTGATAACTCAATTTATGGATATTATTTTTGTTGTTAATAATATCGATGATTTTGCCACTAATACTCTAATGTTCTTGACTATTGTTGCCGTTTGTTGTAAAGCGACTGTCGTTGTGGTACGTCGGAATGCAATCATCAACTTGGTGCAAATATTGTTGAAAGCACCACATAAACCTCAAGACGAGGATGAAATAGCAATACAAACAAAGTTTAATAAGTTCATTAGGTGAGTTTATATCTTTTTTATCAATATATTTCCAAATTATCATTTCCCCACATAAATTTGCAACGTTCTGTTTAATTAAACAACTTTTTATCGAAGATATTTTTTTAATATTATTGTAAACTAGTATCAAGTACACACAATGTATACAGGGTGTACTAAAACCACCGGATATCCTTTTAATCGCAGATTCCTTAGAAAATTTCAAGTGGAAAATTCTAATTAAAAAAAATATCGAGGCTATGATAGTTTTTAAATAATAAGCGATTATATTTCACGAATGACAGGTCTGGGATTTCGCGCGCTCAGGCACGGCGACATGACGAGTGATAAAAGTGTTCCTATGTGTTTCGCGAGCGAGCGAGAACCAAAGTCACCGTTTAACGGGACAGAAAATATTTGGAAAGACGATGATCCGGTTGTTTTAAAAACTTGAGGATAAGAGAGGCAGGAGACTAGATTGAATCTAACTGAAAATTCCAAGTTTACTCAGAATATCGGAGATCGACTAAATCGAAGGATATCAGTCTGATCAAGATGCTCATCATAGTGAACCCCTCCCTTTTATTAATAAGACGTTACACAAAGTTAACAAAAGAAATGGTTAAAGATAACAAGAGGAACAATTAATTCGAGAATGAATCGTTAAGTCTGTTGTGAAAGTTGTCACTATGCTAAAAAGGACGATATTCGTAGGAACACCTTTATCACTTGTCGTGTCGCCGTACCCGAGCGAAATCTCAGGCCTGTCATTTGTGAAATGTAATCGCTTATTATTTAAAAACTATTATAGCCTCGACATTTTTGTATTAGAATTTTTGTCTTGAAAGTTTCTAAAGAATTTATGATTAAAAGGATGTCCAGTGGTTTTAGTACACCCTGTATAGAGTTTACAGAATAGCAATTAAATTTTATAATTACAAATTTCTGTAAATTGTAAGTACAAATAAATTGTGATGAAGTTTAATCGCGGTTCTACATTTGCAGATCGTGCTCGATAAAATATTCACTTTTGGCGACAGGCTCCATGACAGGTCTCACTCTAGGATCAATATTAAATGTTATGCATGGCCATTTACCTTATCGAATATGGCTGCCATGGGATTACAATATACCTACAATGTTTTGGGCTATATCTATTCATCAAATAATAACTTTAATTTTCGCCGCCATCATAAATGTTGGCACAGAGACCCTGGTTTTCGGATTGTTTATACAAACGTGTGCCCAGCTTGAAATTTTTGAAAGTCGTCTTCAAAAATTCATAATTAATAAAACAGTTAGATGTCTGAGACATACACTTTCGACGTCGCACAATAAAAACGAAATAGAATTATCGGGGTGCATACATTATCATCTTAGCATTTGCAAGTGAGTCACGTAAGAATTCGTTTTTATAAATATACCTAGTTGCCAACTTATGTACGTGTGTACACATGCATATACGTTATTCAATCGTCATATCTCAAAACTGCTACTATTTAGCAATCAAAATCAAACATAACAGATATTGTTCGAAATTAATAAACTATAGTTATGAGCTCGAAAGCAGAGCATTCTCAAAGCGATTTAATTACGTGTATGTAGCCATTTTGTGGTAAGTTGCGCAGAAAAATAAAAATATATATATTATTTAGATTTAAGTACTCGCTTAGAAGTAGTTCTCGTTTCAGTAAGTGGAGCGCGTTAAAACATATCTACCAGGATGTTTAAAATTATTGAAATTGTAGTATAAAATTATATATTGTGATAGTAACTGTTTTACTCATATGCAGGATTAACATATGAATTACAGATATGCGAAAACAGTAAACGACGTATTCAATCAAGTGTTCTTTGTCCAGTTCTTTGGTAGTATACTGGTGTTATGTACAAGTGTATATTATCTATCAATGCATATTAAAGAACTGTCTGCAATTGCGAATTTATTAGTGTACACCATCTGTATGTTTGCACAAATCTTCGTTTACTGCTGGTCCGGAAACGAAGTCATTCTTAAGGTAACTATATCTACATATATTCCATCCGTACCAATATATGTCTTGCTGAATGAATGGAAAATGGCAAACGTGCCTTTATACAATTTAAGTTTCTATAAGGTTTTGCGAGATAATCTGACAAATAATTTGTTGAATAAGTTTGAAGCTATTCAATGCCTGAGTTGGACATTAAGAATGTCTACCCAGTCCAGCAAAATGTTGGCAGATTGGCAGCAGATTCGTTAGAAACCCACGCCAAAACCATAGCCATCTGTGTCCGCACTTGGCTTTTGTTTTGGGAACAGAGTCTGTAAAACATACTCTATCAACAGATTGTCGGCAGAAACCGAACAGATCCAGTTATGTGAGCAGATTTTGTTGTATTTCTGCTGACACGCTGGCAACGTGCCGACTATATCAATTTCTGTATGCAATCTGCAGTCTTTCTGCCTTCAAAATTTGTAGTGTGCATTTGACGAAATTCTGACAGATTTGGGTATCTGGGTATTTTCTATACATGAATTATAACTATAGTTAATGTTTACGTGCGTGTGCGCAAGGGTATGTGTATGTAAGATTAATATTATTAAAAAAATTATTCGGTATTGTTATGTAATAATAACTTTCATGATATCCTGACAGAGTACGAGCATAGGAGATTCTATCTATCGCACGGATTGGCCATTACTATCTATTAACGAGAAAAAAGGATTGCTGATGATTATGATACGTAGCACACTTCCTATAAAGTACACTAGCAGCTTCTTGATAACTTTATCTCTTGAGTCTTACAGTAACGTTAGTACCGTAATTTTAGTGTCCAAACAAATACATATTAACATATTAAAGAGGTACACTGTGATAATGTCGATATTTGTCGTATATGTACGAAAATGTGATAGGAATTGTTTTTCATAAATGCCTAATTTTCCATATTAATGTTTGCTTCTAAATTTTCTTTCAGATCTTAAAAACGTCATATTCAGCATTTAACGTATTACAAAAGTGAAATCTGAATAATAATGTAGTTTTTGATAAATTAGCGATTCTAAACCTTATAAATTTGGTTTGCACACATCCTTACTTCAGCTTTATTCCCTATTCCGATTATTCAAACATTGTAATAAGCAGGCACGCACGCATTAAGTGTAACTATATGTAATACAGTTTAATACACACGATAACTTGTTTTGACATATATAAAGAGAAACTGATTTAAGTCGAGCGTTAATTGAACATGAAAAATATACTTTCTTTCAACATTACCTATGACACTCTTTTATGATTGTATCAGACATGATCCACAGTGAACTTCCGGCTCACTCTCGTCATGCAACTCAGCGAACGGATGTGCGACAGTTAACTTGAAAAGCACTTAGACGCGCTATGCATTATCTCTCTCGTTACATTGTCTTGTATTATACCTTTATCTAATTCACAACAATTACCTAATTTACTGAAGAAGTTATCTGGTATTGTCTCCAAAAGATTTTTCCAGATACTGTATCTGTAGGAAACTGTTATATCTTTGTGCACAAATTATTTGTAATTATGCAAATACCTTCTCTCAGTTTTTTAATATACATTTTCGTCAGTATATGACGGCCCGTTAAATGTTCATCGAATAATGCCAAGCTGCTGTAACCCTTTCTAAACCTCGAGACGATACGAACGAAATTTAATAAGTTTATCAAATCGGTACGTACAAGCGGATTTTAATCGGCAAAATTTATAGATTCTCAATTTTCTACATTTTTGTCTTTCATTTTGCAGGTCATGGTCGATGAAGTATTTACTTTTGGCAATAAGTTCTTTTACAAATGTAAGACCGGTGCTAAATGTTATACAGGAACAATTGCTTTATAGAATGTGGGTACCATATGATTATATTAAACATACCTCTGCTGTTCTGGATTATGTCCATTCGGTAGCTCTAATTTTCGCCACTAATCATAAATGTCGGTACAGAGACTCTAGTCTTCAGATTGTTCTTGCAAACGTATTTCACACGCCGGTACATATCTCAGCGTCCAGAACTATAACTTTACTGGTGTACGCCATTCGTATGTTCGTACAAATTTACGTTTACTGCTGGTCCGGAAATTATGCTCAAGGTAAATCTAACTGCTTGTATTCCGCGATCCATCCTCACATACCTTGCAACAAGTGAAACAAATGTAATATTAACTGTAATTATGTTCAACGTGCACAAAATGTCAATGTTGTACATAATCGACAACATTATCAATCGCTCACAAACCAATCATTCTATCGACACATGATTATGAAAATTATAACCACTCTTTAAATTGATGTTGGATATATATACGCGCGTGTGTGACTTAACTGAAATCGATATCGAGTCTAACTTTGGAGCGATTACATATAAATCAAGTAATAAAAATCAATAGAGGTGCGCACCAATCGAGGGTGCGAATGAAATATCCTTCTCGGACACACACTTGATTATAGCGCAAAATTATCGATATAATTTTACTGTATATGGTAACATAAATGTTTTTTTTTCGAATTTACTGACAGGGAAGTACATTACTTTCGTATGTATACAAATTCACGTACACAAATCAGATATAATTTAACAATCTCTCAAAGTATGAAATGTGTATTTTTAAAAGTATTTAGTTTTATAAAATTTTTATACATATATTTACGAGAGGTAAAGTGTAAAACAATACAAATTTTATACGTAAAAAAGAAATTTGAGTTATACAAAAGACTAATTTGTTCATTTAAATAAATAAATTTTATGTATACTTATTTTACATCTTATTAAATTTTTTTGTATTGATACGTGGTCTCATTTTTGTATGTGAAATATAAAATGTAGTCACTCCAACTCTAATTTCAGTTCTAAAATGGATGTCAACGTAATAAAATTTTCGCATGAAAACAAAGCTTCCTCTACGAGGAAGCAAAATGGATATCATTTGTGTGTTCAAATTATACTTTTAATTCCTACATTAGAAAATTAACTGTTAGGAAAACGCAAGATTTTTATTAAAATTGTGTTATGTATTTAATATCTATATAATATAATATATTGAAAGAGATAGAGAGAGAGAAACTTTCATTATATTTTTTCTTTTAATTGCCATCTTAAACTGTTAGACATAAAACTCAATATTATTTTTAATTATTCAATATATCTGTTGCAAAAAATTGAGTGCAAAACACCGACATTTTTCGTTTTAATAAAGTTCTAAATCTACGTACATACTGGGTCAAAGTAGATAATAACGATCAGAGTTTGGAAATATTACCTGTAAATATTTGAGAATAACTTTATTCATTATCAATTTTGCGATTTACAAATTGTCTTTTCATTTCAAATGTAACAATACCGACAGCTACACCAACATTTAAGCTGTCAACGCCATTGGTCAATGGTATATTAACACGAGTGCAATTTCTTGCACGTAGTAATTTACACGACTCAAGACTAACACCTTCGGTTTCTCCACCAATAACAAGTACTACTTCCCTTTCTGTAAAATCTAATGTATAGTAAGGTTTAACTGAAAGTTGAGATATTATTTGGTTTTTTAGCAATCTAGTTTTAGCTGTTGATTTATGTAATTTGGTTTCCCTCATCAATTGGTTTACCACATTATCTTCAGTATTTTCATTATCACCCACATCTACATTATCTTCTTCCATATAATTATTATTGCCTTCGATGGAAGTGCTTACAGTTGACTCTGAATTAACCTTATGATCTGTTGAGTCATTTTCATACGTTATATTGTTATCCGCTAGAAAAATTGCAGACTCGTCACTTATCAACGTCGGAATGTTATCCCATGAAACGGATGTAACTATTGGTAGGCGAAAATGTGCACCTATAGCGCTGCGCACAACTTTGGGCTCCCATAAATCCACACACCCTAAACAATCCGGAATTAATAAAAAAAAAAGTTACGGACTACTAAAAATTAGGTAAACGTGCAAGTTACCTTTCATTAATACCAACTTCTCGCAACCGACTGCAGCAGCAGCTCTTACAATAGTCCCTAAATTTCCTGGTTCTCTGATATTGTCACAGATGATAGTCAAAGGTATAGTATCCTCAGGTGGTTCTTTGTCCTCTACATCTGGGATTTCAAAGATTCCTGCACCCAAAATACAACAATAATTATATACAGATATCGTAAAGAATTATTTGCCGCCAGTACATGACTAACCAACGTAGAAAAATTGCTAAACAACCGGCAACTTCTAATTAAAGAAATTTATTACGAAAAATATCACCTCAGCCGGGGTTTGAACCTGGACTTCCCTACCAGTGTATTTTTCGCAATAAATTTCTTTAATTAGAACTTGGCAGTTAGCGTCCTCTAGCAATTTTTCTACATACAGATATGTGCTTTTTGCAGATTGTGCTAACCCAGATAGCACACATAGTTCTACGAATATCCTTCTGGAGTACAAATATTCTTAATTTCAGAATATTCGAATCGAATCTTCTATAAATATATATAGATTGTTGTATCGCCAGTAATTAAAACAAAATACTCAAGGATTAGATCGACCAAGGCTGGCAGTTTTAGTTTAGTTTAAATTTTACCACGACGTTTCGGCCAGTAATACTGGTCCTTTTCAAGTGGATCCTATTGCTTGTGACAACGAAGCATAGGAAAATATAAAATAAGGCTAATCGTCATCGCACATAGAAACATACACCTTCACACGTGTCATGTCACCAAGAGACTGAGTAGCCAGTATTACTGGCCGAAACGTCGTGGTAAAATTTAAACTAAAATAAAACTGCCAGCCTTGGTCGATCTAATCCTTGAGTATTTTATATATTGTTACAATTAGAAATCGTATATTCATAACAAAGAACGTTTTTATAACATTTGTCGAGAATGTCTTTGGAATATTCGTTCAGAATAATTTTTTAATATTCATTGAGTTGATGTATTGCACATTGTTCATTGTGTAATATACTTATCTTTTACAAAAGACAGTGAAACCTGTGATCCTACCATGTACAACCAATACGCTATATTCGATGGATTATTCTATTCACGTTCGAAAAAGATTTACTAAGTGCCAGTCGAATGTTCCATGAACATGAGATAAATATATAAGAATGACCTATGGAATGTTCCAAATATTCTTGAAGAATATTCTTAAAATGTTCATAGGAGTGTCTTGTGCTATCTGGGAACAGTGTTGCCTTCTTATCAACGAAATTTACCAATAATTCCAGGAGAAGTTGTCAAGTTGGACCACAACTGAATCGTACGATACGGAATTTTATACAGTGTTACTTCTGCGGGAAGCGACAGTGGCAGTATATCGGATAGTCTATTGAAAAATATCACTTTTGGTACCACCCCTGCCTCAAGTGCATCTTTGATTAGGCGATAGCCTTCCAGCAGCATTTGACCATTCTTTTCTCTCTGCTTTTTTGTCTTTACATCTATCATCAACGAGCTGAAACACGAAATGCAAATGGTATTACTCGTAGCATTGCACTTTCCAGAGGTTACATGAACATCATTTAGAAAACTGTATACCTTATGAGCTTATCGTTTGCCTCCAGGGCTGTATATTTTAGTTTTGTGCCAGAACTTTCTTTAATTTCAGGTTCCTCCTTAGCTTTCCTTTTCTCTTCGCGTGAATTGTCTCTTGATCTCCTACGTGTTCTAGCAGTTCTTGGTTTATTAGGTTTCGTCGTGTCATCAGTATCGAGAATCTCGTGTTCATTGACAATAGCAACAGGCCTGCGACTATACCATTCAGTACCATATCCGCATTTAATTGTCGATCTTAAATTGCCTGGTCTTAACAGTTTTGCGCCGTGAATCGACCTAAGCGTCAACTGCACAATATTCAGCAACATTCTTATTTTGAAAAATCCGCTCCAACTATCGTGTGCTATTTCATTCAATAATTATTTTAATAATCACTGTGTTACAATAACGTCCCGACACTTTAACCACGTGCTAATTCAAGATACCGAAAGAATAAATTTACCGCATGTGCTCTCGCACACATTCGGCGTCGTGAAAATACCGTAGACGCGCTCCACGCTCCACGCAGAAAGTGCGCCCCTAGAGTGTGCTCGGAAAGTGCGTAACTAACATTGACCATACGTCGATGGTAGCGAACCTTATTTAGCTAGGACTCAAACCATATCTGTTAATAATGGATGCATCTCTATTAGCACAATTATATTATTGGACAAATTAACATCCTGTCCAGGCTCTTATAACCTTTATTATAATTATTATTAATAACAATTTAATTATCAATTAACCAATTCCTCGGCTAACTTCAGATATTCCACCAAACTGTGTTGTAGTCTTGTTGATACAGAAGTTATAAAAAAATATATAAAAATTATTAAAAACTATTAAAAATTATTAAAAAATATATATTAAAAACCTAATTTATGATTTTATACTTGTTAGAATGTAATTTAATATTTTGAACAAACGGTTTATTCTTGGTAACATATAATGATTATAATACAGTATAATAACATACATTGTGCGTTTTATAAAAATCATCCTTGTTTTAATTTCAAGATCGATGCAAAACATTAAATGCAGAATAGGACGTTTTGAGAATCTAAAAAGTAAAATACAGCGACAATGCAATTTATACGCTTCATTGAATAATATCAAAGTGAAAGCATTAATTTTAGTACTGACGCTAGCGTAAGAGTCCAACGATAACGTTACCAAGAAAGTGCTGGTAAATTTTATAGGTTTCGTGCTACGCTTCATGATCATCAATAGATCTTTTCGTTCGCTAATTGTCATTAATATCCAATCCATTTCAAACACCGCTTCACCCAGTCCAGTACTCTGAACAAACACAAACTATTAATATTATTAAACGATTTAGGAAACTAATTTATAATTGTAAAACAAGCGCATTTTTCCGTAACATTGTCTTTGGTCTATGTGTTTATACGTGGAAAATTATTATTACCTTAAGCATGACTTCGTTTCCAGCCCAGCAATATATAAAAATTTGCACGAACATGCAAAATGTGAAAATAATTAACGTTACGAAGTCTGCAACCGTTATAGGAGAAGATAAATAATACACACTTGCACATAATATTAATATGCTGGCAAAGAATTGTACAAAGAGTACTTGGCTGAATATTTCATTGGCCATCTCGGCAAATCTAAAAATATACGCTTATTGTATAGCAATATTACAGACAATATTAAAAATTATAAATCCAAAATTATGTTAATTCTAGAGATACACGATGCATACGTTTATCTTGTAACCATGATATGTGTATATTATGTGCGTACCCAATAACAATTCTTGCGCGCAAATTTTGCTTGTCTTACGCATGCAAATTTGTATGCGATTTGCCCGAGTTTTGTCCGTAAGATATGTTCAGTCTGTGCTTTTGCACGCAAGTGGCTAGCTCGTGTATCAACGTATAATGTTGCGCGCAAATATCGACTCGCGTACAAAAATGGCTCAACAGCGCAAGCAAAATTCTATCCAAGTGCGTCGTCGTAATGCCAGATGTTTGCGCGCAAAATGTTTTCTGGGTACAATGTACGAAAAATTATATAGAGAAAAAATACACTTGACGCGAGACCGCGTCTCTAGATATACGTGTAATAAATTTTTCAAAATGCTTGACAAACCTGATTATGCACAGATGATAATAGATATGCTCTGATAACCTGCTTGTTCCATTTGGCGTGTCGTTCAAATTTTTGCAAACTTGTTGCCCCTTGTTAGATTTTATCTCTCGCTGAAGGCGATGTGTCAGAATTTCCAATTGTGCGCATATTTGTAGACACAATCCTAATAACAAGGTTTCCGTAGCGACGTTTACGAATGTGCCAACAATTAGAGCTAACATTTCGTGAAGAGATGTAAGCCAGAATAAAGAGGGTGGCGTATAATGGTATGGTACCCATATCCTATGAGGTAATTCGCTGTGAAAAGTGGAGAGCACCTGTCCTGTTATAGCACCAGTGGTAGAAAATGATGCCAAAACCGTATAACTTATGGTACATGATCTGTTAAATAAATTACCCACTTCTTTAGCAAGACTGATTATTGTCAAGAATAACAATACATTAGTACTTGCACATACTTGCCTAATTAAACGATCATATTTCATTTGTATATTAATCTCTTCTTCGTCGCAGGCTTTGCATGGTTTTTCTTGCAGTATTTTGATTAAGCTGATAATTTCACTGCGGCGAGTTATGGCAGTAGCTGCTTTACAAAATGCAGTAATAGCCGAAAGAAGCATTAACAAATTCGTAGCAAAATCGTCCATGTTGTCAACGATAAAAATGATATCGAGCAATTGAGTTAGTACCGAGAAGTTCAATAGATACATCGTAAAAAAAGTAAGCATGCTGTATAGATGTGTGGAACATTTCGAAGACCATTTGATCGGTCGCCACACACCACCGATAGTGTAGAATAAAAAATTGAGAGACAGTAACTGCATTTCTATAATTGCTACAATCTAGTAGAGCCAGAAAAAGATCATTGTTCATTAAAAAACAATTCTTACTAATAACATGTCAAAGTGATATATTAAAACAGCATCTCTCTAATGTATCACAAAACTAATGAAATTGATAAAAACTTATTAAAAGTTTTAATTCGCTAGATTTATAATAAACAATGTTCTGCATAATAACACAAGTATACGATGGGAAAGACTTTGAAGTCTGAACAAAATTATGAATTTAAATAAACGCAAAATATCACACGTTTATTGTTCACATTCTGTTCACTTTTAGCACTTTTAACTAAAAACTTCAAACACGCTTAACTCTTCACATACGCAGTGATATGTAATTAAATTTGAGATTTGTCGGTGCTACAATTTCATGGTACTCAAGATTATCATCTTGTGATTTTGTTTCAACTTGTATGCACCGTGGAAATAGCTTTGAGATATTTTCAAACTTACTTTTCACTTATATTCTTTTGCAGCACATACGAAAGACTTGTAGCTTATGATAAAACCGTATAGCTCGAACCGTATAACTTCAATTTGTACGTAGCGTCTTCTGTTTTGTTGAGAGTAATTAATACTGAGCGAACTTGCGACAAAGGTTCTTGAGGCACTACGAATAATTACATGCTTGCAACCCTATGGGGTTGCTCGGGAAGGGTAATGACAGTTATTAACAACTTATAGCACAGCTGATACTTTCCGTTGATATGAAAATGCCGTAATGTAATCTAATCTTACTATTTGATGAAATTGATGAAGATTAATATTCCAAGATGTCGCGATGTGTCTCAGGAAGGGACGACACAATATGCTTTCAAGGTAGTATTTACTGCAAAATTCTCACAATTCTATTTATAAAATGTAGCTTATACCGTACGTGAGTACGTACAAAATGTACATAATATTTTCGATCTCTGTGGATATTACATTTATATTTTTAACAAACTGTTAAATGATATTAATATAGTACGTGTAGAAATGCGAATACTATCTCTCAATTTCTTATTATTCACCATGAGTGGTGTATGGCGACCAATCGAATGGACGTCGAAATGCTCCAGACGCTTATACAGCATGTTCACTTTCTCCACACTGTATTTGTTGCATTTCTCGATGCTGATCCAATTTATGGATATCGTTCTTGTTGTTGATAATATGGACGATTTTGCTACGACTGCCTTGTTTTTCCTTTCGACTGTCAGTGCAGTCTGCAAAGCGGTCACTACCGTAACGCGTCGCAGTGACATTATTAACTTAGTCAAAATTCTACAAGAAGAGCCATGCAAACCTAGCAACGAGGATGAGATTAATATTCAAAGAAAATACGACGTCTTAATCAGGTATATCCAGATATACTGATATAACTTCCGACGATATTCGGAAGTCTTCAATTGCAGAAATTTATTATTTGTTATCTCTCTTTCTCCTCTCGTACACAGATCGTATTCCATAAGTTACACACGTTTGGCAGCGTTTTCTGCCACTGGTGCTGTCATAGGAGAAATATTAGCTATGTTACAAGGTGAATTGCCTTACAGAGGATGGGTGCCCTACGACATTTACACTTCGCTTCTTTTATTTTTACTTACATCCCTCCAAGAAATGTTAGCTGTGATTTTCGGTACAATTGTAAATGTCGCTACGGAAACTATCGTATTAGGGTTTTGCTTACAAACGTGTTCGCAACTTGAAATTCTGAAATATCGTCTACAAAAGGAGATCCTAAAATCTAACGAGAAGGAAGAGACTCGTGAAAATCCACTGAAAAGCGTTTCATATAAGAGAAATAGATTGTCAAAACACATTCATTATCACCTGTGCATAATCAGGTTTGTTAAGTCCATTGAGTGTTGTCAATAAATACCTATATATAGATTGTTCCATCTCTCAGGCCTGGTCTACAATGAGTTGCTAGTCGCTAGTCAGAAGTCGGAACCATATGTTGATCCTTTTCCTTTCTGGGTGGAAGAAACAGGACCGACATATAGTTCTGACTACCGACTAACGACTAACAACCCATTGCAGACCGGGCCATATAATATGATGTAATCTGTGTATACCGAAATTCAGCTATATTAATTATTCTACGTTATGAATCCAGAATTAATAATAGTTTATCTGTTGTATTAACAATTTATTAAAGTATTATATAATTTTCTACGTAACAAAAATTTTATAGGTTTGCCAAACTGGTTAATGATGTATTCAATCAAGTACTTTTTGTTCAATTTTTTGCGAGTATATTTACATTATGTACAAGTACGTACTATCTGTCTTCTCATACGACAGTTGAAGATTTTGTGAAATTAGTTATTTATACATTTTGCATGTTTGTGCAAATTTTTGTGTATTGCTGGGCTGGAAACGAAGTTATACTTAAGGTAGTTACAACTTTCTATAAATTAAAAGAAAACGCCGAATGACAATAAAATCTACGGCGTTTCTGTAGAATTTAAAAAAAATTTAAAAAAGTTTATGCAAACAGATTATATTATAAAGAAAATATGTTTACGCCGTACATTTCTTTTACAATTATTATTTCTAGAGATAAATGTTTATATTAATGGCTCTTTTTATGCAGAGTGTTGAATTGGGTGAAGCTGTATATGAAATGGATTGGATATTGTTGAATATTAATGAACAAAAGGACCTGCTAATGATCATGAAACGTAGCAAAAGACCTATAAAATTCACTAGCACCTTTTTGGTGACACTATCTTTGGAATCTTATGGCAATGTCAGTATTAATGTGAATGCTTTCTTTGATATTATTACTAATATATCATTTTACTTATAGATTCTCAAAGCATCGTACTCTGCATTTAATGTTCTGCAACAGAGAATTTGAGATTCAAGTAATGTTTACTCTTTTACAATGTATGCAATATAATATCTCATGAATGAAAATAATATATAATTTCTTGTAAATAAAACTCTTGCCCAAATATAGCATTGTTATATAAATATACTGTATACAATGTATTGTACAATACACGCGCGACAAACGTTGGTGAAGTATAATTTTGTAGATGATATCCATTTGCATCCATTTACGATTCAAACTTAATGACAGTAATTAGCAACTTGATAGGAACGGAGAACGCACGTTCTACCATTTTTCTTAATATGAAAAAGTCGTAATTATGACGTAATCGTGCCATTCGAGAAAATTGACAATGAGACAAATTAGTTCCAACATATTGTATCGTTCCCAGGAAGTAAAATACATTTTCGTTTCTTTCAAATTATATTGTGAAAGCGTAATTATAAAATGTACCGTATATGACGTGCACAACTGTCCAGTTGCGTTTGTTCACCCACAGAAAAAATTTCCGGATCCAATGCTATTACACTCTAATGTATTATAAAATAGGCCAATCATATTTTCTTACAGAGAAAGGAATGAAATTATTGGATAAGAAATTTGACACCTGTATCCCTGTACCCATAAAGCTCTCCAATAAAAAAACTATAATAATAAATTCAATTAAAATTCTTCCTGGTATAATTATAGCCTTCAGTGACAGAAGAATCTCTGGATTAGAGGTGATTTGGATTAGCAATAATTAAGAGGATTATGTATCAATAATAGCACAGCAGAGGACCACTTTGAACGATGATTCATGCCAAGTTAAAATAAAGCTGAGGTTATTAAAAACCAGATGTTTATGGAGGTCACTTGAGATCAGATGCCACGAACGGATCACATATACCAACGAACGAGTTTGTGGCAATAATATCTGCGGTACATGTGTTTGGAGATCTATTCTTTGCAAAGAGTTCGATGTGTTAACATTTATCGTATTTGTTTATACCTGGACTAGACTGAAAAGTGAATTGAGCAAACAACTGAAACATATTTTTATTATAGTGCAGTGCCAATGACAATTTGTGATCATCAATGTTGAAGAGTCTATCTTTTTTAGTGTTGTTTTAAACTTTATATGACTTTCCAGTCTTTCACAGAATCTGTCGTTGATAATTTCTTCTATAACGTGATGTGTCTGAAGAAAATGTTATTGCAAAGAAATAAACACTTTCTTCCTTTCTAAACTGACCGATTCAATTGCATGCAGTGCGTTTTTCCATTTACTAAAAATAGGTGACAAATCATCATAATGAAAATAATTATATATAACGTATAGCCTACTGATATATTTATCATTTTTTATGTTTCTTTTATATTTCTTGTATATGTATATCGTATCTTTCCCTTACATGACACTTCTCTTTTATCTTTAAAAATAACGTTCTTCTCAACAGGTTCGTTAGTATTGAGAACGAAAATAAAATTCAGTTAAAGTTTAGACGTTTCTCTCAGTGCGTTACTGTCTTGTCATACAAGATTCAATATACAATATCAGACAAGAAGATATAACCAAATGGAATTTCAGGAAAAATCCACCTTTGCTAAGGAAAATCCAGTTTATGACGCCATCCCTCTAATTATTATTGATAAAACAGGAAAGAAATATCCTAAAGGTCTGTATAGAGTTTCATTATATTATCTAATTAATTTGTTTTTCATAAAAATAATATTCTAAATTGTCATAGTTTCTTAATTAGAGAAAGTGCTAATTAAAAGATATGAAAGCATTATTTGTTATAAATCCTTTTCTAAACAAAACATTTCAAAATGCAAAAATTTTAAAACAAGCGTTTATAAATAATGTGAAGTATTTTAGATTAATTTTTTCACCAATTAGTTTTTGAAAACTTCTTAAAAATTATAATGAAGTTGTAATCAAATAATATTGTAAAAAAAATGAGTCATTAGAACCTATTAAAAAAAGTGGAGTTTCCCAAAAAATATTCTTAAACATTCACTGGGTGTGCACGTGTCTATGTGGTGACATTTAAACAAATTTCTAATTCTCTTTACAAACTCCTTAAACGCATCATAAATATTGAGTGTATAAATAGCTATACAGAAATAGAATTCAAAATTTGAATACATTAAATATAATTTATTATTTCAGATACGACAGAGAATCTAAAATATTACGTTTCTAGTCCATCTTGGATGAAATTTCGTTTACTATTATTTTGGATATTGTGGGCTGCATTAATAATGGCAATAACAATCCTTTTTCTTACATTCTTTTGCTTTACACCTCGAATGTGCCATGGTTCAAATATATGTAAGTATAAATAAATGTATATATATAAAATAAAAATTTATAATAAATAATACATTCTTTCATTATAAAAAAATATAAAATACAGTTTTGTAAAATCATTAAATTTTGTCACTCAATTACTTAGTAATTTATTTTTACTAAAACAAATTTTTCGAAAACTAATAAATCTGATTGATAAGAATTTAATTAATACTTTATTGTTAATAGAATTCTACGAATTTAGAAAATTCTCTTCAACGAACTTTTGTAAATTGGTGGGTAAATTACGTTAAATATAAAGTATATCTTGTATGCGTGTGTGTGTGTATGTATACTATTCACAGAGAACAAATATTATAGATTTTAATTTTTAATAAAATAACAAAATGTCAAGTTTTGTTAAATTAATTAAGTTATACATTGATTTATATGTTGTATGTGTGTTTCAGTAAATACATTGTCTCATAAGATGCAATGGAAACGTCATGGCGCCTAATAATTTAGATTATTATATGTTTCTATTGTATATTCATGTTTTAAGTAATAACGTTAATATTAAAATTACTAATAATATAGTAAACAAAGAATATCACACGTGTAGCTAATAGAAAAGTACCCAATCATGAAAATGAAATTGTATACTTCTGTTATATTTTTATACTAGCGCAACTGTACAGTAGATTATAAACACTACGTATACTTTAACATTAACTTTTTATTTACATAATTTATTTAATTACAGCTTGAAAATATTTTGTAAATCCATTATGTACACACACACCTATATATATAAAATTCTTTGATTCCAAAAATGCAGTATTCAAAAATCCTCAATAAAAGATAGCGACTATAATGAAATAAGTATATAAATTATACATTTTGTCCTCTTTTAAAAAACCTAGCGACTTTATTGTAGCACTTTTATATACTAGCAAGATTTAACTTTACTTTATTTTATACATTTTATTTAAAATAATTTATGGAAACTAAATTCAGTTACACACATACATTCTCATATTTTATTGATAAACTTATGGAACTTTATCTTGTGCAAGAATAATTATATATGATAAATCACATTTGAAAATTCTCTTTTCTCTCTATTCTCATTGTAATCCTGAAATTTAATTAACCCTAAATAAATATTATTTTAGCTCCAGTTTATTTAAAAAATGTTATAATAATTATAATTATGCAATCTAACATAGGAAAAGATTTCTACTTTTGCACAATTTTAACTAAAATTTATATCAATATCCTGTTCGACAATTAATGCAAAAATACAATGGAATAAACAAAAAATTAAGTTAATCTTCTTGTTTGGCAAGTGATTGGGATTGTTTCAAAACCGATTGCGATTCTCGATTTGATTTTCCTTGAATTAACGTTGTTGAACTTAACATAACAGAAATCTGTTCTGGCAAAGGACACGCGATCAACAGAAGGTTCTCCGCGTTATAGTACTTATTCAATAATTGATGCAACTGCGTGAATGCAGCGCAAATATTATTCTTTACTGGTTTAAACAGAATAAATTCAGTTTCTTTGTTAGCTAAATACAATTGCATCGATTGCTGTACCTCGGGACATTTGAATTTGATTATCCGCAATACATCAGCCACTGTGGTTGCTATTTCTTGCGCACTGCCTAATGCATTTTCCTGACTCGAGTTGCTTGCATCAATCAACTTTTCTTTCTCTAGTAATTTGATAATAGGATAAATCAATAGATAAGTTGCATGTTGTATTAATCGCTGGCACGTAAGTCTCAACTTTGCGTCCACATGCTTCCTCGAATCGATAAGTTGCTCCTTCATCTGCGGCGCACCTTCCAAGAGAAACTGCAATAACGCGTTGTTCGACAAGGTGAAGAACCTGGAACTCTTTTCGAGCAGTCCGAATGCAGCGGTCTTCACTTTAGAGAAGTCCAGGCTGTATTCCTTGATTGTAAAGTCCACTTGGAACGGGGCAATTTGTTCTCGAAGAATGAGCAGGTGCTTTATCTGAAATAACTCTGCGTCCAATGTGCTCGCTTTCTTCTCGATTTCATGCCTGGCATTCTCGATGCTCTGGACGCAGTGGGAAATGGCCTCCTGGCTCAATGACTGGAACACAGATCTGTCGACGCAACGGTAGAGCCTCGACAGACACACCAGAGTCCTGCGCACCGTCGGATACCACATGGCATGCAGATCCGCCGGGGAACTTCCCATGTGTGTCTTCTGATAAATGGAATCGATAACTATGTGATTTCGAGAAACCGGTTCTAGAGCGGAACTGTCGGTGGACGACACCGAGATCTTCTTCATGCGAGTCTGGCGAGTTGCTTCCCTGATTGACTCCGCTATGTCCTCCATCATCTTCAGCTTTTCCGGATACGCCAGGTCGCCTGCCGAAGGATTGTAGTTGAGCACGTCGGACTGCAGGTATAGATGCGCGCGGAACACCAATCTCTCTTGGACATCGTGCAACAGCTGTAAGCAAATGTTCCCGAAGCCTTCCAGTGGTTCGAAGTTGTTCTGCACGTGCTCGTCCAGCATCTCTATTCGTAGAATGCAGCAGATCTCTGCCAGTGTCTCGAGATGATTGATGTGTATTATGAAAGGTCTCAGTGCGTCGTACAGAGAAGTGCACAGGCTCTCCAGGTACGCGGTCAATCCACTTGATTGTTTCGAGAAGAATTCGTAGAAGAGTTTATGCTCGTCTATCGACGCGTGCAAGAGCAACGCGCAGGAATGTCGTACTAAACTACAGTGGTCGCCGTTATACTTTTCTCTTATCGAACTCAGGGACTTCTGTATACTAGTACCTAGCACCAAGCCTCGCTGACTCCAGTAATACTGATGGCACTCGGACAACAGGCTGTCGTACTCCTGCCTTTTGTACGATTTGCTCTCAATCTGCCTGATAACCGGTCTCGTTTTGGACAAGATCGTCTGAAATCTGCCGTAGAATAAAGCGAGCGCCGCGTCCCCGCTCTCCGGCGAGTTTTCGTTGTCCCTCAAGTTTAGAATACTTTCGGTGGTCTTAGAAAACAAGTTGGAAATGTAATTCTGTATCAGCGCAATCGCCTTCGACTGGCAATGCTTGTATCTCACCAGATAAGTCCCACTTTCGCTGTACGACGAGTTGTTCTGCATAAAATCTATGTTTGCGTCGATCTTATCCAATATAGCGAAGAACATGTCGCTGTTCACCGACAAGGTGGACGCATCCAGCTTTTCTATAATCACGTCGATCTCCTTGAAATACTTAACGTACTCGGTGATGCCGTCGATCGTCGCATTTAACTGCTTCTGATCGAAGATCAGCTGTTCGCTGGCCTCGTACAGGGAAGTGGTCTTGCCGGACACCTCGGTGTACTGCTTGTAAAGCGCCGAGAAATCGTCCAGCGTCTCCTCTATCTGGGAGCAAACGTCCTGGCACTCGGATCTCCGCGACTTCAGTTCCTCGAGGTACAGACTGTACTTCATGTCGTACATGGATACGTATTTCCTCTCCAGAAGCAAGAAGTGCTGAAGTAACTCCTGGTACCTGTCAATCGGAGACACGCTCTCCCGACAATTCTCCTCGTGCGACTTCTCGTCGCCATCGATCACGCCGGACTGCAGATTCGATAACGGGAAGAAGGAGGCGACGACGGTCTCCAGACTCGTCAAGCAGTCCTTCTGACAATCTGTCAACGGAGCCAGGGAACTGTCACCGTGGTCCCACTGAATGAGGTTATGTGGAATCGCCTTCGTCTGAGACATTTTACTTGCAACGGTGATCCTCAAACACTGACATAATCGCACGTGGCTCGTTTACGTGCGACTCAAAGTATACTCGCCAAGTGATTGAATAATTGAATTTAGAAGTGCGAATCGGCAATTCCAGAAAGTGTCGCCGACGAGAACTGTTTACGTGTTACTCTCGACGTGGCTCCGCCTGCAAGTGGCTCGGCAAGTGCAACCTGGCGTGCAACGTGATCGACCTACCCCTACCTGCCCTGCCTCGCCGATATTACAGATCTGCACTTTGCAGCTGAACCGTCTGCACTAAATAAGTTCAGAGCTTATACCTTAAACGCAGGACAACCAGTATGGCCACTCGCGC